GCCTCCCAAAGTGCTGGGATTACAGGCTTGAGCCACCGCGCCCGGCCCAACAAATTTTTTTTTCTGAAACAGAGTCTCACTCTTGCCCAGGCTGAAGTGCAGTGGTGTGATCTCAGCTCACTGCAACCTCCGCCTCCTGGGTTCCAGCAATTTTCCTGCCTTAGTCTCCTGAGTAGCTGAGACTACAGGCGCACGCCGCCACGCCCAGCTAATTTGTTTTTTGTATTTTAGTAGAGATGGTTTCCGCGTGTTGCCCAGGCCGGTCACCAACTCCTGAGCTCAGGCAGTCCGCCCACCTCGGCCTCCCAAAGTGCTGGGATAACAGGCATGAGCCACCATGCCTGGCCTACAACAAATTTTTTAAATTAGTTGGGCATGGTGGTGCACGCCTCTGGGGCTAATTAGGGCCCTGTAGGGAACGGCTACTGGACGGGCTGACACAGGAGGATCATGTGAGCCTGGGAGGCCGAGGCTGCAGTGAGCCATTATCACACCACTGCGCGTCAGCCTGGGCTCAGACTAAGAACCTGCCTCTAAAAGGAAAAAGAGACAGAGCGAGGAGAGGTGAAGTGCCTCCCTCCAGGCGCGGCAGGTCCCAGGGGTCAGCTCTCTGGAGCTCAATGCCAAGGTTGCTCTTCTGTTTGCTCCGTAAACCAACACCCCACACCCTTCCTAAGGACACAAAGTTAAGAAAGCATTTTACATTCACTTGACAGGTATGAGGTTCTGTGCACCGTACTGCACCATCTCGCTGATGGGATTCCCCCGCCCACCCCGGCACCCAGCCCTGCCCTGAAAACAGAGTTTTCCTGTTGAAGAGTCCTCCGGCATTGAAGGCCTGGAGGAGTGACCGTGTAGTCGAAGATGCAGGTGGAGAGCCCGGCCGCCTCCGGCCCGACCTTGAGCCAAGACCGAGAGGCAGCTGCCTCCGGAAGCCAGGGCCAGCAGGAACCCCCACCCGGGCAGTGGGTATAGTGCTCTACTGCCAGCATCCAGGCAGCGCATGGGTTTCTGAGCTCTCTGCATCTGACCAAACCTCTGGGGACAGGGAGCTGCACGGTATATCAGCACAGTGACCTCCCAGCGTGGCCTCTGGCCCCCAGTGACCCGCCCCAGGGCTTCCCAGGACCCAGGCTGCAGTGGCCAGCGGCACGTCTTCCACGGACAATGCCTGTGCAGACGCGTGCCCTCTTACACCTGAGAACTCACTGCCAGCCCCCCACATCACTCTGCAGTCTCGTTCTTCTCAGGGGGCCTGGCCTTCAGGAGGGCGGGGCTGATCCCATTCCCCTTCATTCTCTCCAGCTTCCAAAAGGACCCAGGAGTTCTGGTCTCAGCCTGAGCCAGCATGGACTCTTTCCCCACCGGGCAGGCCCTGGCACAACCACAAGAAGAGCTCCCAGCATGGCCCTCCTGAGTCACAGTGCCCAGCATAGGGCCCTGGGTTGCTGGTCCCTCCCCAGCACCCACCAAAAGCAGGGCTCCCTGAAACCCGTCACCCCTGCCAGGGCTCCCCCGAGTGCACTGATTCATGAGAGGCATACAAAAGAAGCAGGGCGGCAGGGTGCCGTGGTCCCTATCTGCACTCCCGCAGGGCAAGAGAATCATTTGAGGTCAGGAGTTAGAGAGCAGCCTGGGTAACACAGCAACACCCCCATCCCTAAAAAGAAATTTGCCAGGTGTGGTGTCTTACCCCTGGGGTCTGAGTGCAGGTTTCTGGGAGGTGGGGTGTCCAAGAGTGTGCCACACAGCTGGGAACCACCCAGGGAAGCTTGCTGCCTGTTTCCATAGTGACCGTAATAAACCCAGTCCAATTCCCAGAGCGCAGTCCACATGATAGCCTTCTGCCAGAGGGAGGACAGCTTAGGAAGGTCAGCTCCAGTGCACTAGCTGTGTGTCTCCTGCTTTTTGTTTTGTTTTGTTTTTGAGACAGAATTTCGTTTTTGGTGCCCAGGCTGGAGTGCAGTGGCACTATCTCGGCTCACCGCAACCTCTGCCTCCTGAGTTCAAGCGATTCTCCTGCCTCAGCCTCCCGAGTGTCTGGGATTACAGGTGCCGCCACCACGCCCGGCTAATTTCGTATTTTTAGTAGAGACGAGGTTTCTCCATGTTGGTCAGGCTGGTCTCGAACTCTTGACCTCAGGTGATCCACCTGCCTCGGCCTCCCAAAGTGCTGGGATTATAGGTGTGAGCCACCGCACCCGGACCCCCAGATTCAAAGACTTTAAAATGCCTGGGGCTACATAAGGGGCAGCACTTCCAGGCTTCTGGAAGGGGCATTCCTTGGCATGGAGATGGAGGTGGCAGTGCCTTTTCACCCTTCCCGTGAGGTCTTGTGCTATGCTGGGCCTTGGTGTCCAGAGATGAGCAGAGGAGGCAGAGCCTCTGCCAGCCGGGTATGAGGGAGCAGGGTTGCATCTGGCCCCCTCCCCCGCCGGCTCTGCCCTTGGGATTGCGGAGGTGGAGCTTGTCACGGGAGTCTGACTGTCAGGAACCAGTCCCTGGTGTTCTGCAGCTGCCCGCAGGGCGCTCTGTGAGCTGGGCCTGGGCTCAGAGTGCAAGGGGGCATCTCCTCTGGGGTAACCATGGGCTCAGATCTGCCCTTACTCTGGAGAACATGCAGGAGATTCTACCCCTCCAGAGGAGGTGGGGCCGAGTCCCGGGCCTGCAACCCTGGCCACCTGCTGACCAGCAGTGCAGTTGTGAGCAGCAACACACACAGCCCACGGGTCCCGCTCAGGCCTCCGTGGCCTGACGTGGCGGCTGAGGGGAGCTCAGGAGAACCCAATGCCTAGCCGGCAGAGTCCCCCCACACACACCCAATGCACACACAAGCAGGGGGGCATCCCATGACTCAGGCATCGTCACACACGAGGGCAAACTCTGGGTGGTGAGCCTGACCCCAGCTGGCCCTCCACGAATGGTGACCACACCCAGCCAGTGGGCAGTGCAGCGTGGGGTGTCTGGTGGGGCTACAGGATACACAGAGCCGGGTTCTGAGTATATGGTGCCACGGCCGGCTGTCCGCTGGCACAACGCCCACCAGGCCTGAGAGAGGGACTGAGACCACCTCAATGCTGCAGTTCCTGGGGTCAGGCGGAGTCCACGTGGGGAAAGGGGCAGGGGGGCCATGCGGTGCAGGGTGCAGCTTTGCCAGCAGAGGGAGCCCTCGTGGGGCTGGGCCCAGGGCTGTGGGTGGCGGCAGAGGCTGCGGTGGGAAGGTCCCTGCAGAGAGGGCCCAGACCCCTGTCCTCTGCATTCCAGCCACCTGCCCCAGGCCAAGCCCCACAGGAGGGGGCCCAGGCTCTCTGAATAGAAGATGCACAGGGGGGCCAAGGAGGCCTGGCCCAGGGAGGGGGTGGCTCCACCTCCTCTCCCCAGACACCCCAACAGGCGGAGACCTTCACCAGCTGTCCTGCCCATGGCTGGTGTGTTTGTGGAGGAGTAAAGCATCCTAACGAGACTGCAGGCTGGGTGTACATCTGATTTACTGGATTGTAAAGTCTGGTACGTTAGTGGAGAAGAGGCAAGGTGAGCGTTGCGTGATGCCGCGGTCCTGGGGGTGGGGCGGGGTGGGGCTGCACCTAGCCAGGCACCCCCACCCTGGATGATTCACCCTCGGGCCCCAGGGCAGCGAGTATGACCCCTCACAGCCAAAAGAGGACACAGGACCCTGCACGAATGGTGAGACCTCATCTCCCTGGACAGCATCCTCCCTGCAGCCCTGGGAAGTGTCCCCACACCAGGGAAGGCTTCCAGTGGGGTGGGGGGCGCCTCCTGTCCCCACAGTCCTGAATGCCCGGCTCTGCCCCATTCCTGTGCTTCCCAGTGGCTGCTAGCTGGACCCAGCTGGCGTCCTGGGAATGACGGCAGGGCCACCGTCCCCAGCAGGCACTGCCCTCCGGCCGGCTGGGCATGCTGGCCACACCCTCAGCATCCCTGTGCTCCTACCTGCCCTTCCTTCTCTCCAGAAGCCTTTGGGGACCTGACCTGGGCCAGCTTCTGCCGTGATTCCCTCCACTTTCTGCCAACACCCAGGGCCCAAGCTGCCTTCCCCCAGGCCAGCCCTGCCACCTGGGGCACGGCCTACTTCACACGTGGGAGTCTGACTGGGTTCCTCCCCGGACAGTCCTATCTCTGATGTTCTCAACACCACCCACAGGTCCACACCACGCTGGACTCTGGGCGGGGATGGGCCGGAGCTGCTGCGGGGTCCCTCCGGGCGAGGCCCGAGCCCTGGAGGGCAGGCGCCAGGCAGGGAGCCCTGCGGCCGCGGGGAGACAGAGGGCCGGGGTCGCGCGGAGTCCGCGTGGGGAAAGGCCGGGCCTGCACCCGTCGTCTCCCGGGCAAAACCTCGACGCTGGCCGCCTCCGCGCTGGGTTCGGGACACAGGGGCCCTGAGGTCGGCGCCGGCCCTCTCGGCGGGGCGGGCAAGCTGGCTCACGGCTCACGGCTCGCGGCGCCCAGCGTGGGGGCGCGGGGCACGGGGCGTGGGCGCGGGCGCGGGCCGTCGGGCGTGCAGGCCTTGGCCGACAGCGCGCTCTCGCGGCCCGAGCGGAAGGCGGCGGTCACGGTCACCAGGTAGGCGGTGCCCGGCGCCAGGCCCTGCAGCGTGGTGCAGTTGCGGCCCGCGGGCACCTCCACGCGCTGCGCCGCGCCGCCCTCCAGCGGCCCGAACTGCACGTGGTAGCCGAGCGCGGCGGCCGCGCCCAGCGCCGGGGCCCAGCTGACGCGGAGGCTGCGCGGCCGCGCGTGGGAGATGACGATGCGCTCCGGGCCGGCCTCCTCCGGGGCGGGGAGGGCCACGGGCTGGGTGGGGACCGGCGCAGCCCCCGACTCCGGTCCCCCGACCCTCGGCCCCGCCTCGCCTGGCCGCGTGCGCACTCGCAGGTGCTGGGGCCTCAGGAGGTGCACGTTGGACTCGGGCACCAGCGCCGCGTCGTAGTCCGTGTCCGGGTCCAGGCCGGCCCAGGTCCAGTCCGTGGCGTTCCCTGGCAGCTGCTGGCGTCTCGCGGCCCCTGGCTGGGCACTGGGCACCAGCTCCAGCACGTAGTAGCCAGCGTCTGCGGTCAGCAGGGGTGGCCAGGCCAGGCGGAAGCCGCTGGACGTGATCTCCGTGGCATGGAGCTGCTGCGGCCGCATCGCGTCTGTGGGTGGTGCCGGGGGTCAGGGGACAGGGGTCAGTTCCTCCTCCGCACCTGGAGGGCGGCCCTGGCTGATGGGGAAGTTCTGGAGACTGGAGGCCCCACTAGGAAAGGTGGGGCCCCTCGTCCAATGCTGCAGATTCTCAGAATGTGCCTTGGCTGGGGGAGGACGGAGGAAGGGGTGTAGCCCCTCAGACCCGGTCAGAAGCGCCCCTGCTTCCCTCAGCCCCAAACCCAGTCCTTTGTGGAGAGGTGCAGTGGCCAGATCAGTGACCAGAACAAAGGTTCTCACAGATGGCAGGGTCAACAGTGGTGCCTGAGAGCAGAGGACCAGCCCCAGCCCAAGTGGCCAGGCCCCGGTGAGAGCTCAGCCCGGCTCCCTGAGCTGCAGGCCCTGAGGTTCCGGAGGCGCTGTCTGCCCCAGGTCCCCAGGAGAGTGTGGGGTGGGGTACTCCGGAGGGAGACTCCTGGGCCTGGAACGCCAAGCCCCACATGACCCCTGAGTGACCCTGCTGTGGCAGGCTCATAAATGTCTACGCTGGGTCACAGTCATCGGGATCCTCCTTCTGTAGTGCTGGGTGCCTGGCCCACTTTCCTCCCGTCCCCCACCCTCAGACCAGGCCCCTTTTCCAGGAGCCCCCACCCTACTGCCTGGCCCTTCTGCACTGTAGCCTCTGGCTTTTCCTGCCCCGCTGCTGAAGGCACCCTTTCGTCCTGGTCCGCGCCAGGCCCGGCTGCACTGGGTGACCCAGGGGGCCACTAGGGGTCAGACGTCCCTGGGGAAACCTTGGGGAGGGCCCTCCACCTCTCTCCAACCCACAATCCAACCCCTTCCGGCTCTGGGTGGATGATTAACCCACAGGCGGAGACTTGGTGAGAACCGCGGTTAGTGGCATGTCAGTGGCTACAGCCTGGGAGCCAGTGACCAGGTTCCTCCTCTCCAGCCCGCCTCCTTCGGGGCCCAGCTGGGGCAGGGAGGTCCAGAAAAAAGCCAATGGAGCTGCTCAGCTCCTGCCTCAGGCCTTCCCTTGTCTGGCTTCTCAGGAAATCCTCACGGTGGGCCTGCAGTCCGAAGCAGCTCAGAGCCCTCAGTGGCTGTCCCCACCCGGGAGAGCTGCCCTGTGCTCTGGGGGGCAGTGTCTAACCTTCCTGGCTCTCCCCGCTCCAGATGCGGTGGACATGCACAGGAGCACGTGTTCCCCATCTGCAGAGTTCCCAGCCTGGGAGCTTCTTCCTAGGCCTATCTGCAGAGTTCCCAGCCTGGGAAGCTTCTCCATGGGGCCTCCAGGTCTGGGCTGGACCGGTCAGCAGGGAGCTACATGTCGAGGTGGCGACTCCAGCCTGCCCCCGTCTCAGCAGGGCGCCTGGGTCACCCAGTGGAGAGCGTGTACAGAGAAGCTGCTCGCTCAGCCCTGCGCCCCAGAGGCACCACAGCCCTGAGGCCCTGGCCGCTGCTCTGCAGATCAGAGATTTTCCCCAAGTCTCAACCCAGACTCTCCTCCTGCAGCTCCCAGCTAGGGCCCCCCTGGACCCTGCCTCCTCCCGCTTACCGAGAATGGAGCCCCTCAGCTCTTGGAGGATGATGTGCAGGTCATCCACGTCCACAAAGTGCAGATGCTTCTCAGCAGGGGCCGAGGCAGCGGCCGACAGCTCCAGGAAGTTGCCCCGGCCAGTGCTGACTATGAACACGGTGACGCCCAGGTCCTTGAGCTCCTGCATGGGGGGCCCCACAGGGTCGCTGGAGCCGCCATCTGTCACCCACACCAGCACCTTGGGCACCCCTGGCCGGGCACCTGCTGCTTCAGCAAACAGCTGTTCCTTGGCATACGCCAGCGCCAGGCCAGTGTGGGTGTCGCCCATGCGCTGGGCCGAGGCGAGCACCGCATCCTGGGCAGCCTTGCCTGAGCTGTGCTGGCCGAAGGAGAACTCGGTGTACGGCCGGCTGCCCACATGCACCAGGCTGGCACGCAGGGCCCCGGTGTCCAGGGGCAGAGGAGCCACCAGCTGCCCCACAAACTCCCGAACCCGGGAGAACTCGTAGTGAGACACACTGGCAGAGCTGTCCAGCAGGAACATCAGGTCTCCTCTGGGGGCTGATGCTGGGGGACCTGGGGGAAAGGAGTGCCCAGCCTCAGGTGTGGGCCCCCCAGACAGACCCACACCAAGGCGGGGTCCCCCAGGGCCTCAGCTTTCCTTAAGTGAGTGCTTGCCCTCACCCGCAGGTCCCAGGTTGGGGGAAAGAGGAACTGTGAGCTAAGCAAGTGGCCTGTGCGTTTCGGGGTCTCACTCTACACACCGGCTGTGGGGTCTAGGGCTCTCTCTGGGCTGGTGTCTGATCTGTGAGAGAGTGACTCTCCGCTCCAAGCCCCCACACCTTCCCATCCCTCACACCCTGCAAGCAGGTGGTGACACCGGGCCTGGACTCAGGCGGCAGGGCTGCTCCCTCTGGGCAATGGCTTTCAGAGGAGCAGCCTGAGGCTGGAGTTCAGCCGCTGCTCAGCATCCAGGCGAAGCATGCTGGGCAGCAGGGGAGGGTATTGGAGGCTGAGCAATGAGCACCCTGGGATGGTCAGGCTGGAGCCCAGACCCCACCTAACAAATGGTGCCCCCTCCCCTGGCCTCCATCCTCCAGCCCATCTGGACTCAAACAGCAAGATACACCCACCAGCAGCCTGAAAGCATGACCAACCCCTCGAAGGCTTCCCCCTTCTTCCCGGCACCGCCGGGGTGGGGGCTCATGCCCCCCCAACGGCCGTCCCCACGGAGCCAGGGCACCAGCGTGCCTCAATTCTAGTCTGGGCTTTGCGGTTTTCCCCAGTGCATGGGGCGACTCCAACCTCCCTACCATCCCTTCACTAAGGGTCCTCTCAAGGGTAGGGAAACTGAGGCAGGGGAGCCCCCCTGGACGGACATCACCTCCGTCTTCCCGTCCAGGCCCACGATCCCGCAGGTACGCGGGCCAGGCCGGCCCCTACGCCCCAGCGCTCACGGGCGGTGTCGCCCGGAGCACCCGGGCCGCCCGCCGCAGGTGAGCAGGACGCTCCGCCGCGCCCCGGCCCGGCTCCCGCAGCCTCCCCGGCCGCCCGCAGCGGGGACAGCGACGGCCCTGGGCGGGCAGCGGCGCAGAGCGGGCACCAGGAGCCCCCGGCACGGCCGCCCGCCCGCCCTCCGCACTCACCGCGCTCCGCGCCGCTCCGCGCCAGCGCCAGCCGCAAGCTCAGGGCCAGGCCGAGCGCCGTCCAGGGGAGCATCGCGCGCGAGGGACGGGGCGCTCGGCAGCGGGCTCGCGCGGGGCTGCAGGGCGCGTCGCGGCGCGGACCAGGCCGGCCCCGCCCCCGGGAGGCCCCGCCCCGGACGGCCACACCCACGCCGAGGCCACGCCCACGCCCTCCTGCGCGAGCGGAGGGCCACGTGCACAGCCTCCGGGGAAGCGCGCGCGAGCGGATCCCGACACGCAGGGACACGCAGGGACGCGCCACCCGTCGAGATTCGACCGAGGCACGCACGCGTGGGCACGCACAGACCCTCCAGCCTCCCTCTTCCTGGCCAAGGCTGTGGGCCCCGCTCTCTCCACCCGCTGCGACCCGCAGCCTGTGGAGCTGAGCAGGGAGGTCCCAAGCTAGGCCCTCCCCATGCCCGCCACTGCCGTGACTCTGGGTGCTGGGGTCCCTGCAGTCAGGCCCAAGAGAACCCCAGGGGCTGACAGTGGCACCAAAAAAACAAGTTCCCGCTACAAGGCCCACGCCCTGGCTTCACCTTGGCCACAGGGTTGGGGGGGTAGGTATCTCAGGGACTGGGGCATGTGTCCCAGGGACTGACCAGCAGGGATTGGAATGGCCTTGGAGTGGAACTTAGAAGGACACAGTACCTTGGAAGGGGACAGAAGACAAGAATTTGAGAGACTAGAGGCTCCCACCCCACCTGGGCTTCTTGGAGGAAGAAGCATGGGAGCAGAGATGGTTGGTGCAGGCCCTGTGCAGTGTGACCACCCTGGGCCTGGGACCCATATGCCCTGCCCAACAAGGGGCCCAGACCCCGGACCCAGGACACACCCCAGCAGGACTGCAGGGGCCCACTGGTGAGCCAGGCAGGAGCTCTTGGGTCTCAGGGTCTCGGTGAGGTCCAGACTAGAGGTGGCTGGCTTCGGGGGGCGTCCTGAGGGACACTGGTCCCCCAGGGCAGATTTGCCCAGCTCAGGTGGTACTAGGCTGGTGGTGTCCCTTGCACAGGAGCTGAGGCCTAAGAGAACCCCACCCTGACCCTCCCAAGAAGCAAAGCATTCCCTCCCTCAGAGTAGCCATGGCCCTCTCCCGGGGCCTCCTCAGCTCAGAGCTGGGGGCAGGGGACATGGGGGTGTCTGCCAGGATGTCCCCTCCCTCCCCACCCTCTCCTGGAGGATGCCGCAGGAGAGCGGATGGGGCTCCTTGGCCTTCCTTCCTCCCTTTCAGGCAGGTGAGACACCCCTGGGCGTGCGGCCGGCCAGAGCTCTACTTTGCCTAAAAAAGGAAGCAGCAGGCTGAGGAGCTGAGTCTGAGGAGCTGGCGGTAGGAACAAGGGAGAGCTGTGTCCCCGCCGGCGCCCCCCGTCCCCCCCCCCGCCGGGGATCTTGGCAGTAGAGGTGCTGGCTGGGCTCCACAGACCTCAGGCCTTGGCAGGGACCAGAAACTGCCTGGTGCTTCCGCCTGGGCCCAGAGGGGGGACTTTGGGTTCCCAGAGTGTGAGCTGTGCCACTCTGAGGGGCCTCGCCAGGCCCCCAGCCCCCAGTCGCCGGGGCTGCTGTGGAGATGACGCTCAAGGCGGCAGCAGCTGGAGGACCTGGGGTCTGACCAGGAGCCAGCTGCAGGCCCAGCGGAGGCACACCCAGGTGGTCAGGCAGGGAGCTGGCCACCGCTGTCCCCCACCCTGGGTAGTCGGCTGCTCTGCTCACAGCCAGGGGCCTACTGTCCCCCACCCCTGCCCAGCAGTCACACCTCGGCCTGCCCTGCTGGGCTGAGGGAGAAGTTTTCCTCACTTCTGGAAAAAGTGAGCGGGTCTTCTTGGCTGTGACTCAGGCCCTCAAGGAAGCCGCGGCACTCCGCCCTCCGGCTCACCATCTCGGGAGAAGGCGCAGGAGGCCTGGCCTCCACTCAGCCTGGGCCAAGCTCAGCCACCTGCCCTGCTCCCAGTCCTGCCTGGAGGCCCTCTTGCTGGGGACCCTCCCCATCAGCTCTGTCCCGTGCTCTGCTCTGCCGTGGCACTCAGCCTTCAGCACTCATCCCGACGTCCCCCTCCCCACCCGATGACTCCACCCCAGAGGAGAGACATGGACAGACAGAGGGTCCCAGGGAGCATGGGGTCAGCCAGAGGTGCAGTGTCAGGGCCCCAGCCGGACTTGAGGCAGACAGCGGAGGAAGCACAAACAGAACAGCCGGAAGCCTCTACTCTCCAGGGAGAAGGGCCCGGGGAAAGGCACGCACAGGCAAGGGCGGGTCAGGCCAGATCACCGTGGGTCCTGGCCCCGAGCCCTCTGCCCCCTGCAGACACAGCCCCCTCTGATCATGGCGGCCTGGGGCCCCGAGGGTGGAGAGCAGCCTGGAGCGGCTGTGGCTGCCCTGCCCCCACGGCCTTGGCCTGGGCTGTGGGAGTCCCTCTGCCTCACTTCCTGGAGCCAGCCGGGCCTGCTGGTCTGTCTGCAGGCAGGTGGAGGGGGTTCCGGGAAGCCGGGACGCTGCTCTCACCCGGCACCGCCCCTGCCCCCACCCGCATCTGGGAATGCTCCCTCCTCCGCACAATCCAGTGTCTGCAGAAGAAGGGCCTTTTGTCCCCAGCTGGCTGTGGTCGTGTTTGACCCCAGGGAAAAGGGCAGCTCCTGGGGCCTCTGACCCCACCCGGACCCAGGCCAAGGGCAGAACGCCCGGTCCCACAGCCAGGGCCTTTTACTGCTGTTTTTCGTGTATCTCACAAAGTGTTCATGCACACCCTTGAACAGAGATGGGAAGGGGCTGTGAGGGCGTCGGTGCGGGCCTGAGGCACCACTCTGGGGTGCGCCTGAGCCCCCGGACAGTAAGTGGGGCAGAGCAGGGGTCACCAAGAGAGCAGGGCCCACCCAGCTCCTACACCCAACTGCTCAATGGGGTCAAGGACATGCCAGGGCCTGAGGGCAGGTCCTGGGGGCCTCGGGGATTCACTTTTCACTTCCCAGGAGCCCAGGTCTGCCCCTCTGGCCCCAGAGCTGACCCCTAGTCAGTCCCCCATGCCAGCGGCAGCTGGGGTGGCAGACACCTGGTGGATAGCAGCCTGGGCAGGGGGCGGGAGCCTCCCCAATCTGTGTCTGTCCATTAATCCGTCATCTGTGTGCTAGGCACGGCCGCACCCCAGCCTCGACGCTGGGGACACGCAGGCGCTGGGCCAGCACTGCCAGGCTAGGAGGGGTGGGCCGTGCCCACGTGGAAGGATGACGTCTACTTGTTTCCCTATGAGAACAGGGGGTCACTGGGGACACGCACACAAGGGGTACTCGAGAAAGAGTCTTTCAGGCGGAGAGAAGTGACAGCAGGGCCTGAACGGCCCAGGGTTTCCAGCCTGTGTGGCCGCCTGTTCCAACAGCAGAGCCCCTTCCTGGTGTGGGTTCCCTCACTTTGCCTCTCTGCTGGGACACCCCTCCCTGAAAGGGAGAGGAGGACCACAGGCTGCCCCCTCCCCAGACAGGTCCAGACAGGCTCAGGCCACAGCCCTGAGCAGACCCGAAACTCCCAGGCGCCTGGACGGGGCTGGGGAGGAGGCAGCAGGGAGGGACTGACCTCTGGCCACACACCACGGGGGACTCCCCAGAGGCGGCTAGGGTGGGGCTGGGAGAAGGGGCCTTAGACCTCAGAACGGCCTACCCACCCCGGGAGTTCCTGCCCTGAAGCCTGCCCAGCTTATAGGCCTGGGGGCAGGGGCAGGCCAGCACAGGCTGCAGGGACAGAGAGAGCCGCATCTGAGGGGCCCCAGCTGCTCAGTCTGTGGGTGTGCTTGCCAACAACTGTGCTCCCAGGAAATGTTTTGTGAATCAGGGAATGTCAGGGCAAGGTGGGAAGCTTGCTCCATCCAGTGGGGTGAAGTCCTTACTGCCTCCCTGCCCCAGCGTGAGGCATGATGGGGACGCAGACCGGACACGCACAGCCACGGGCACACACATACACACAAACATGTACACACACGTACGCACACGCACACACACGCACAAATGCACACACATGAACACGCTGGGCTCCCTCTTGGGCAGGGCAGGGACCCCAGCCACTGGGAAAGAACGCCAGGCAGAGGTCCCCACAGCCATCCTGCAGCTGGCTCCTCCACCCAAGGAGTTCGGGCCCCCATGCCAGTGGAGAGCTGCAGCAGAAACACTGGGACACGGCTCCTGCCCTCAGGTGGGGGGAGGGGCTCTGGGGGAAGAGGTAGACAGGCACCCTCAGGGTGGGGGCTGGCCTGGGGACCCAGGGCCCTGAAGCAGGGTGGGGGGTGGTTTCCATCATGGGCACCATGCTGAGCAAAAGTTGGGAGAGATTTGTGAGGTCTGGGTGGGGTCCTGCCCAGACAGGGCTGGAAGGGTGGGCGAAGGCCCTCTGTATACCTTGGGCCTTGAGGAGGAGAGCCTTGGAAGAGGGCCCCACATTCCCTCATTTCTTGCCTCCTCCTGGCTTCCCAGGTGATGGCCAATAAGGTAGCCACTTAGGACCCACCAAAGAGGTCAGGCAAGGACAGTGCCAGGAAGAACCAGCGGCCTCCCGCCAGCTGCCAGGGCCCAGCCTACTTCTGTCCCAGGGGCGGGGCCCCTGCCCGGTGGGCACCCGGGCTCTGGCCTTCCTGCACCACCCCTTCCACGCGTGTTTTCTGCAGCCAGGCCTCTGCTCTGCAGGGCACATTCCTACACCCCTCTTTGAACCACCCGCAGGCCCTTGAAGGTGTTCCTTTGTGAGCTGGTCATGCAGCTGGGGCTGAGGCCAGGCATTGCTGCTCTGTGCCCTCAACCTCCCTGGTGGTGCGGGGCCTCGGAGTGGGCCTGGGAAGCTGGATACAGCTTTGGAAAGAGGCGCCCGCGGCAGCTGTGAAGGACAGAAGCCCCTGCCCAGCAGCAAAGGGGGCCGGCCTCTCGTTCAGCCGCCCCACCCCCACTGGGCCCAGCTGTTGTTTTCACGGCTCTGGGGCCAGGCGGATCCTCTGCCAGGAGCTTCCCTGGAGAGCTCTCATCTGCAACCCCTGGTGGCAGGAGGGGAAGGAAGGTGGCGGCCCGGCCCAGGGGAAGCCATCCTGGCAACTTGGCCCTGGCCCGGCTCCTGTCTGACCAGGAAAGGCATCAAAGCTGGACTCCGATGGAGGCCGGAAAACCCCGGGGCTTCTGCTGGACCTGACCCAGCCACACACCAGGCTCTGCTCAAGGCCACGGAATGAGCCTCGACCCTGGCCCCAGACGGAGCCCAGACCTTGCTGGTCACAGGCTGAGCCCTGCTGACAATGTGATGTACCAGATCCCTTAAAAGGCCTTCCAGCTACATCCAGCTTCTGGATAAAGGACTGTGAGCACACATTTGTGACAGACTGCTGGGCTTCCAAGAAAGTCAGTATCTCCAAGGCTCCCCCAAAATTAAACAGCAAAAATAAATAAAGCCCAGAGGGGTGGCTCACGCCTGTGATCCCAACACTTCAGAAGGCTGAGGCGAGAGGTCTGCTTGCACCCAGGAGTTCAATACCAGCCTGGGCAACACGATGAGACCCCGTCTCTACAAAAAATTTAAAAGTAGCTGGGCATGGTGATGCACTTTGTAGCCACAGCTACTTGGGAGGCTGAGGCAGGAGGATCACTTGAGCCCAGGAGGTCGAGGCTGCAGGGAGCTGTGAGTTCACCACTGCACTCAGCCTGGGCGGCAGAGCAAGACCCTGTCTCTAAGTAAACAAATAGACAGAGTAGTTCGGAGGCCTGGATGATGAAGGGAACTGGCTGGGAAAGCAGAGAATTCCTTGGACACACACAGGGACAGAGAGCCAGCCTGTGGCCAGGGAACGAGTGTGCTTCTCTGCATAGAGGCTGCTAAACCAGAGGACTCAGGGTCACCGAGGGGGCACAGGGCGGTCTCGCTTGGGAAGAGGAATAGTCTCTGGAGGGAAGCATCCCCAGGCTGGACCTCAGAACTGTCACAGATAACGGCTAACAATGGAATATTTCCAAAGGTTCAGAGAAACACCGTGGTACTGATAAGAATCAGTAGAAACAATCAGTCACAGATTTAGAGCCCCA